TAGGCCTTGTTATCTGTCCCAGATGAAAAGTACTTCTAGTACTAGCACACTAGATTAAAGGTACTCAAAGGAACATGCACCTCAATCTTCTACCTCCTATGACTTTTCTTGTGTTCTCAAGGAGCCTCTGATGCTGGATGTGCAGTAAATTAGGGCACAAACCTTAGCTTTGTTATTCTGAAAATATAAGCTTGCTGTACTGACAGTGTGACCAGGTGATGGTTTAAAAAAAAGGAGAGATAGGACCATCTGCTGACAGTTAAGACAGTCTTACCAAGACTTCAAGGTTAAATCTGTCACCAGTGCTGCTGCTCTTCAAATCTAGGCAACTTGGACTGCACATGAAAGTTAAAGTTCTGTGTAAAAATGTTTAACCTCATTGCAGTGGTTCCAGCTCTATAAAGTGTGCTGATTGCAATTTTTACATCAGTGCATCTTTGTTGTCTGCATGAGTGTCTCCACAGGGAACTGTACTGAACACTGTATATTCAGTTTCTAAATTACCTTAGATTCCAGTAACAATGAGTGATTTATCATTAAATGTAAGGAATGTGAGTACAGAGTTTTTTGTGACTTTCCTGTCATTCCCCAGCCAGTGACGATTCCCACTGACTGTTTTAAGCTCCTGCTTATCAACATCCCCTTGCATTTACAAATTCCATAAAGCCTATTAAGTGTGCAAAGAAAGCAATAATCACACAGAAATAGAAGTTTTGTGTTATGAATATAGCTTTTCTTTGTAGACAGACATCTAAACATTTCTGATCCATGCCTGTCCTCTTTTTAATTCTTTTGAAATTCTTTATCATAAGGAAAATGTTAATTTGTGATGCTAGAGCTTGAAACTCACCACCATACTCAAGCATATACTGCACTGGCAGGACGTCTCTCTTTTCTTGCGTAAAGAAAAGATCAAGAAGTAGGTAAGTATCATAGTTTGGATTGTAACAGCAACAAACAAACTATAAGCACTGGAAAAAAACCACTAAATTATCAGATTCTCATCTCACTTTTAAACTAGTAATAATTGATGTTGGTTTATACCAGAATGCTTTGTTTTAGGAAGAATATTTTTGACCTGTACAAACATTCACAGACTGAGTGCTAGATAAAAAATAATCTTCTGTGTTCCTTTGCACTGGTMAGGTAATGCTTTCATGGAGAGCCATATCTTTCAAACAGGGCTGTTTAGTGACTACTAAAGCAGACACGTGCAGGACTTGCCATTGCAAGCAATTGCATCTTCACTGGATCAGATCAGACTCCTGAACTGTAATCAAGATAAATTTTTACAACTCTAGTGATCCTGATAGATTCTAGTCCTATAAACAGGATTACTACCCTAAYAAGGGCATAAACTGCTATGGGCTAATTTTAAATACCTACAGAACATCTTCYAATTATCTTGGAAGTGGAAAAAAAATACTATTCTCCCTTACTATTCCTATATACACAGGAATATTTTCTAGCCGTTATTCAAATTTTCTTATCTATGCACATTTTGGTCAGGTTTTTTTCACATCGGTAGGATCTGCCTTGCCCGGAGGAGCTCGCAGGATTACCCAGTGTCTCCACCCAGAATATCCATTGACACATCTCAATGTGCACCTAACACTTACCAACTTGTTGCAGCCTCTTATGGGGGATGTCTCGCACCTCTGGGAATCCAGCACTTGGGGAGATCCAGTGTCAACTAGGCAGCTGCTTTGAGACAATGCAAGCTAGAAATTCAGTGAAGTAATCGTCGCAAATGAGTGACTCCCTCATCTGTATCGGAACAAGCTGAGAAGCTCCCGTGAAAACTCTACAGTATGTCCAGAAGCACAGCCTTTGTTTACACAACCCTTGCACACGCCAGTCACACCACAACTAGAACTACTGAAAGAACTTCAATTTCTTCCTTATATCACAATTATATATTAATTTCCAAGCTGGGTTGATCACACTGCCTTTGCAGGAAGTGCAACATAYACGTATTTAGTAATGATAGCCCTAATTCACTTTCAAGCTCAGAGGTCTAGTTTTCACAATAGGATTGATCAGCTGTCTTCTTGACTTCTGCAGCATTTCACTGAACAGAAATTTTGCAGAAAGACAAAATTATTACAAAAGAAGAATTAACACATGCCCAGGATTCATTTTGTTTAGCTTTGCAMGGTATTTACCACAAGGTAAAACACAATAGCCCTCAAAGCCCTTGACTTCACTTTGAGAATTCTTTCCTCCCGAATTCATTGCTTTTGTTAAACATGCACTTCTTTTACAGTGTTCTCCCACCCCGTGAAGGAGCAATTTTAATTCAACTGAGAAGCATGATAATGTTTAATTTCTATTGCCACAGAAAAATCAGGAAATCAACAAGACAAGAGAAACAAGGAAGAGAACAAGTCTGCTCAAATTCATACTGATTTCAACAGATCTAAAAGGGGGAGCTGCAAGACAGAGTAGGAGCTGGAGATTTACTGGCAAGAGTCTGAGACTAGTGAAAACCAAAACCTGACAGACCGGAACCTGGGAAGAAACGAGGCAGCACCTGGCCACTCAGCCACTTCATTTACAGTAAATTTGAGGAGACATAAACGATTTTTTAAAGTGGAGATGCAGGGGTTTGTGTCCACATCTCCTCAAACTTGGCACCATTCTGGTAAGTTTACTCAAGGTATGTATGAAAAATTGAGAGTTGATTATCTCAATACTTTTGACAATTTTAACTGAAATGTTCTTGAAATCACAGCTCAGTAATATTARCAAAATTACACATAATGAATAGGATCAATTAAGTATGGGAAAATTCTAGTTTTTCAACTTTACAGGTTCTGACTATGAAGCTGCTTCTCACAGTTCAATAATGAAAAAGCCCTAAAATGACCATACTCTTCCTTACATACACTTATTTGTTTCTTCATACTCCTGCTCATCTTCTCKATGCACCTAGCAAATTATTAAGAATCACGTTGCCATGTATTTGCCTGCTGGGTGTACAGTAAGCAGTGCTGTTGAATAATACTTTTATACTACTCAAAAAAGCTTTCTGGCCTGTACAGTCTGTGTGACAATTTTGAGTAAATTGAGCATTGCTGTGCTGTTACTTGAAGCTCAAAGAGGTTCTGAATGCTTTACCATGTGACTAGGATTCATGGCAGACTTATTTAGCAGTGAAAAGGTTTCATTCGCTAACAAAATGTTTTATTTATTTGCCACAGTATTCCATTTCTTTGCCACTCAGACCTATAATCAAAAAGCACAGCTGAAATCCTCTCCTAATAGCAAGACTTCTTGTTTCCTTAATCTGCATTAGAATACAAGGAATACACAATGAAGGTGTGGTAACATTCTGCTTTCTTAAATAATTTCTGGGGAATGACTGAAACCACCTTTCACAYGTTTTGAGGAAAGGATTCAGGAAAATAGCTGTTCTACTAAAAACTTCTAAAAAATATTAATTACTGACATTTRTTATTTTTCTTCATTTTGGTCACTGAAATTATTGAGACAGTGTTATTCTGAGATTTTTTTTTCAATTAGAAAAACAATTTTTAAAATTATTTAATGATTTGCCAGAAGACAAGGAACAATAGCAGAAAATATTTGTGTCTTGCAATTATCAGGAGGGTAGAATTTTCTTCCAGCCATATAAGTGCAGATTACAGATTTTAAGATTGCATGGACTGGATTTGAAAATAATTCATTGTCTTGCTTGCTCTGCCTTGTCATAGTAAAAACATGTTCAAAACTGGAAGGAGGAGAGAAGGAAGAAAGGAAGAGAAAGCACCTGAGGTTCGCAGTAATCAGCAGGCAATTGTATCAAAACTTGTTAAAGACATTTGCAGTTATTTTGTGCTGAAAAGTATTGTGCACGTAAGTAATTAGTGAGAAAATTTTGTCTACTCACAGGACAAATACAATTAGCATTTGGGTCACCAAAAATATTCTGAACACTGCAAGCTAATTTTGCAAAAAATCAAACAAACACTGATTAAAAATTATTTAAAACCATTAACTCGTTACAAAAAAAAAAATCCAGTTAGTTTTCTGTTTTGAACAAAAGTTRTAATACTCAGAAAGCACATATTGTAGCAGTATGATTTATAATATTAGTAAAACAGTTGGAAGATTTCTCAGAAAGATGCATCATCTTATCTTTCATGTAATAGTTCATTATTTCAAATAATTTATCAGTCATGCCAATCCATTCTGATTTTATACGTAAAATGAGACATAGTTGTTTGCTTTTCACAGGGTGAGGCATAACTTAATTTTCAATGTGTATGTAAAAAGTTATGAATGTAGGCAGCTAATGAATTCATAAATAKACTTTGATGTATTTCCAAGAAACAGAACACTGTCATTTTTACTGTTCTAAATGGTAAAACTTGTATTCGCAGTAATCCTGACATTGCTGTCTGCAAAAGTGSTAGTGTTTTCAGGACTTCCACAGAACAGCTGTATATGCAAAGTCCATAATCAACAAAAACATGGGTAAAAGACCCAACTGGTAGTTTTAAGAACATATATTTGCAATACTGCAAATAGCACGCCTGACAAGTATTAGAAACAGTCTTCAAAGGTGAATAATTTGTGGACAGATAACTAGAAGACTCCTTGACATAAAACACAGGATTCCACCTGAAAGTGCTTAACAAGCATTTTTCAGAGTTTTGAGTGTTGTTCGCATTCTCGTTTTTTCTCTTGCTAGGTGAAGCCTCCAAGTACTATGAAAATAGAACTACGTTATAAACAGAAAAATAATGACTTGATAATATCTGTAAAAAAAAAAAAAAAGACAAAAATGTGCTTGCCTCTCAAAATCTGGGTGTGGAAGATTTTCTCCCATGCAAGTGAGRAAAGACATACACATAATTGCCTTTGGGATCATCCAGAAATATACTGGGTAAAACATGTTTCTGGGCCCTGCACGTACCCTCTGATGGCCGTCTTCCGTGCTGGCCAAAAGGGGCTGTGCCCGTGGAGAGAGAAGGTGGAGCTAAGTGGGCGAGAAAGCTGAGAAAGCCTCCAGCTAACTTGACTTCAAGTGATACCCGTCCTGTGGATGGATTAACGAAGTGCTGGTTGACTGGCCTCTGTGCTGCAAGTAGCTTCCAACATTCGCCTAAAGCTCTCCAAGTCATACGAGGCACATGGAGTTGACKGAGACCAACCGTGGTCACTCAGGAGCGCACAATTTAGCCTTCCAGGTAAGTGTGGTTTCCTTTGCTTTATGGAGAAGAGGAAGGACTTTAAAACAATGGACAATGTTTAATCCGGTGCCCGTACAAAGAAAAGGCATTTTCTGCGCTGTGTCTGTAGATATTTTACAGTACCCTACATGCTTTGCACTGATACTCTGCCAAAGTACAGAGTACGGCTCTTGCGTAGAGAGACGGCTGAGCGAGCACAATTGACATATTCAGGAGTATGCTCCACTCGCTGCCTTCTTCTGCTACCATCTATCTTTGAAAAGTCTCCTGGCTCGGTAATATTCCGTGGACTCTGTCTCACAACTGGCTCCCATCTGCTGTATCAGTTCTGTTTTTTCTTGAGGATATTGAGCTGTCATTTGCAGCTCCGTTGAAGAGAAAGTCAYCATTATGCAGCACATATATAAGTCATCAAAGTAATGTGTATCAATAATATGAGAAAAATAATAATGTAATCATAATGGGACATACCATTCTTCTATGCATAAAGTAAGTGCAGTTGTCTTGTTCTGCTCTTGAGAAGAGCTGAGAGAGAAGGTAGAGAGCCAACCCAGAAAGTTCTGCMTTTTCGGGGCATAAAATAATATTAACAGCCGTTTAAAAACCGCAKATTTCAAAAGAGGAAGAACAAACTGCCCCCAAACAAACACCATAAACCCCCAAACTAGTAAGTTACTGTTTCTCGGTGTCCAGCGTTATTGTGCTTTCACTGGAATTAGAGCAAGGATAAACAGAAACCTGCGAACCCGCGGCCGGGCTGGCTCAGTGTGCTTGTTGCTGAAGGTAGAATAGGTCAGGGAGTGACGGTGTCTCTAAAGCAGTCTGAAGAGGGCTGTGTTAGCAAAGCAAGTCCTTGCTCTCTTGTCCCTACGCCGCACCTGAGCTCAGCTAGCAGGAAGTGAGTAGCGCATGTGAGTRTCACTAGACACTATTCAAGTAACTCAGAAAGGTCTTTTTAGATGCTAAGCATGTGGATTATTTACGTAACATCAGTGACATTCRACCGCTCCGTTTGTTTATTCATTGCGCTATACGGACAGACAAGACCGTCAGGGAATATTTACGGAATGTAGACAGTACAGATAACTCTTAAAACATGATAGCCGAGTGGTTAGGGCATTCTCCTGGGTATTTAGAGCGCGCTCAAGGCATCTGTGCTTCAGGGCAGATAGATGGGCAATTCTTACTCGAGTGTCCCTCAGTTCAAGTGAGCCAGATAAGAGTTTTCATCCTGTCTATGTTTTCACACAAAATGTGTGCCTAGGCTAGTGCCATCAACTTCCCAAGTCTGTGCCTACAAACTCAAAAAGGAGAGGAGTCCCTARCTGCAGGAGCTCGGTTTTGAACTCTCGGTTTTGAACTCTTTGAAAATCAGCTTTTTCCTTAGAAGTCTCTGTGGAGCACAGTACACTGATCTGTGTTAACCCTCTGCCTTATGCAGCTAGCTCACCTGGGCCATTTTTATTTGCATTTTTACTATCTCTGTCTCAATATATAAGGCACTGCCTATAGAAAATAAGGCACAGAACGAAATAGATAATCTTCTGCAAATAAATAAATAAATAATAAATTGCTTTACAGTAAAAGCCACTGAAAAGTAAACAATTACCTCATTTCCCCATATTTCTTGTATTTAATATTTTCTGGCACAAAGAGTGAATGCTTTAATTCGTCCAAAGTAACAGTGTCTTATAGTACTAAGAAATGAGTRTCTTACCTAAACCACAAAATGTAAAATCTTTCTGGAAATGGTTTAATTTAAGTCATGTTAAGTATCCATAGGTACCTTCAAATGCAGCTGAACCTTTTAATGATTAATGCACAAAGGGATAAAGTAAGCAAAGGACAAAGTCAATCTGAGTTAGGTAATTTCTTTTATGAATTACCTAACCTAGCAAAACAGCTCTCAGTGTAATACAAAGCACCTCAAGGCATGGATGAGGGATCATATTAGAGCTTTTTTAAGTCAAGGATGAGAAGTATTGTGCTTTCTGTTGTAGAGGGATCTTAACAGCTTGAAAAGTTGTAATACAGACTAGTCTGCTTTTTGACTTGTCATACAAATGGTCAGAGGGGGATAACTCTTCTCAATTTTCATTTGCTGTTGAAATGCAAACACACATATCTATTTGTAATGTGACATGATTTTTATGGCTTCACAGAAGCATTTCACTGCATCACTATTTTCTGTGGTACTGTAGTATAACCTCCGTAAACCACYGTTAACTTTCAGGTAGGATATGCTTCCATGTAGCATAAAGTGATATTATTACCATTAATTGCATTTCARTTTTGCTTCTGCAAAATATCAGGTAATTCATTTGTACACTATGCAGGTCCTATATTATTCGCTTGTGATAATGCCACTACCTGGGACACCCAGAAGCAACTTTCCCCATTATTAACAGCTCAAAATTGTCTCAAAAGAAAACAGGCAATATCCCCCAAATGTACAGCTCTGCTGTATCTCTGTCTCTCTCTTTGATATTAGGAACATCCCAATTACAGCCATTTGAGTGTATTACAATGAGTGAGATTTTTGTATTGGTTTTGAGATTTATAGCTTTACCCATACTGCCAGTCTTCCCTAGCATGCTCCCACATTTCAGTTATAAAGTATTTGCCTTAATAAAACCCAGTGCAATTGTTAAGACCTACTTGCTAAAGTTACCTGCTTTGGATTCTACCTCATAGCTAGAATCAACAGATTGCTGCACTGTTTATAATATGACAGTCAGGCTGTTAATTTTTTTTTTTCATCTTAAAAATGTCATGTAATTTGAGAAACTTAAATCATTATCCTCAATTCAGAAAATTGTTCCTGCTAAGTGTCTGTATACCAGTGTAACACATTGCGTATCTACAGCTACAATAATATCATGTGTAACGTGTGGAAAGTGTCTCTTGCCTTCAAAGTGGTTCAATTAACTTCTCCCTGATTGCACTGGGTGGCTGGAGAACCACTACACTTGCCCACAGAGTTTTCTGCTCTGTAGGACTAATAATAACCCTAAAATTGATATTGGATTTACCTAGCTTGTATTAAGCCCTCATTTAAGAGACAAAACTTTTATTTAATCAGTTTTGATGATTCAAATCTCTGATAACATTAAACATCAGGTCACACTCCATAAGGAATGATAAAAGCTGCATCATAAAAAGGAGGTAGGTGGGATGAATAAACTTCCCTGCATTTAAATGCAACACAAACATAAAATAAATACAATGCAAACAGAAGGTAACAGCTAATAAATATTTATTGTTCACTGCCTCCTATTGCTGTTGTTATGATGCACTAAAGAGCCTGTATCTGTTTCTGTAGCAGAGTACACCATGCTCCTAAGAAGATGACTTGAGGAAGGATCCCCTGCCTCAAAGTCTGGCTTTTACTCACACTGCAGAGGACATTGGTATTGCAATAACACATGCAGTATTTGTATTCCACTTCTCCAAATAAGTTTAGAACACACCTTAGAAAACACCATTTCTTTTTATCACCTTTCTCCACGGCTTCCTAGATACTCTTGTCTGGTTGATTAGTTAAGATTATAGATGCTATTAAATATTTCTATTTCATGGACATCACTGTAATGTTTCCCTTTGGAAATGAAGAAGGTGTTGCACTGCATTGTTTAGTCAGATCCACACAGGAAATTCGGCAGTCCTTTTCTATATTTTCAAAACTTGCTTTCCAAAGCCATACTCATTTGGTTTTGTTTTGTTTTTTTTTTTTTTTTTTTTTTAATGCCTACATTTCAGGAGATAATCCAACTATCCTACCCTGACAACCTAAATTTTTAAAGAAAATAACAACGTACCAGATGTGGGGAGTCTTACTTACAGCCCTTTTCATAATGGTCCATGAAGATTTAGCCTGCTAGATTTACATCTGGCAGTACCTGTTTCTTATCTGTTGTTTCTACAGCTCATTTACAGTAGTTTAGCACATGGATAATGAGCATTTATCCCTCCTGCCCTCTACACTGAGTTTTATAATTTGACAGGTATTTATGAGTGCTAAGATTATTCGCTTAAAACAAATCTTTCTCCATATTTAAAATGCATTTAAACTCCTTCAGAATCATGGGAGTGGTTAGCAGAAGATGAGGGAAAACCTAGGTGAATGGTGTTCAGTATCATTGAATATTTGAAGAGAAGCAAGTTTTGATGGCTTCAATTCTGCCGACCAAAAATACGATTAAAAATCCAATTAAATGCAACAAACTCCAGCATTAGAATTTAAGCCGTATGCTTTTGAAGCATCTATTTTCCACGGAGTTCCTTGAGTATCCTGATTCTAATCTCCAATCTAGTGTAAGGACCCACCATTAAACCATAAACAGTTTAAGTAGCTGCCTGGATGCTCTGATGGCCAGCCCATTTTCATTCCTAGCTAGCATGAATATAACACTATCTGCTCCATTGTTTAAAGCACAACAATAGAAGTTGTTAGCTCCTTACAAAAATCTATCTTCCTTCAAAAACGAAGGAGGAGATAGCAGGGAAGGACAAAGAATGTAGTCATGCAACAAGACTTGGTGAATGAACAGCTTTTCAAGAGGGAACTAAACAAACAGTGAAAGCATTTCACGTACATAGATGAGATGGCTCTATGCCCTTGTGATTTAATTAAACATTTTACAAGAGGGGAATCCTATCTATGCCCTTGTCATTTAATTAAATATTTTACAAGAGGGGGATTCCTATCAGTGAAAGTAAAGCAGCTTGTGAAAGTGGTAGCAGTGCTTCAAAAAAAATTTGCTTATTGCAAGCATTCAAAATAGATGGATCAATTCTGTAATTCTTTAACTGTGGACTAAAGCAAAGAAAATTTTCCCATCCGAGTTTCTTTATGAACTTCCTGCTCTCACACATCACCTGGAGATCAAGTAGGTTCAGAAGTGACTTTACATATTGCTGGATGTGGCCTGTGCTCATAGCAGGACTGTACAAACTGTAATTCCGAAGGCTTGAACTCCCATTTTCTCTTAAAATGTTTTGTTCTGCAAATGTTTAGAGGGAGCTGGAAAAGGATACTGAGTAAATGAGGTAGAAGTTTTCTGTCTGCACTGGGTGCTTAGATACCAATCAGCAACAGTGTGTGATATGCACAGACTAACATTTTGTTGAGGAGTTCCTTCAGCAACTCAGACACCAAGTAAACAGGAAAAGGGAATAGGCAGTTTTACTTGTCACTTGGATATTTTGATTTCTTATTAGAAATTAAAAATAGCTTTTTTTCTTCAAGCAGTAGGATTAAATAATGTGTTTTCACCAAACAAAACAAATTCCGTAAAGGGGAGGATGAAGAGATTGTACTTGAAGAATCAGCTATGAAATAAGAAAATCAGTTTCATGGCACTCATTCAAAGACTGTTCTAGTCAACAGGAGTATTACTGAAGTAAACTTGTTATCAACAGTAATTAGCCAGTTTCTACTGAATCAGGACTATTCCAGAAATATGATATGATCAGCTGAAATAAGGACTTTTATATTCACAGAAAAGGACACAAATCTCTCATTCTGTAGTGTGGGYTATTGAGTTCCAGCAATTGTGAGATGCTCTTACTAGTTGTGTTACATTACTCCTATATTCATAATATGTTACATTATTCATATATTTTCATTACTCTATAAATGAAACGTTTATGTAATTATTGTACTTGAGCAGTGAGTTGGACAAAATTACTTCTAGATGTTTCTTCCAACACAAATTATTCTTTACCCGTGTATTTCACTAACAGCAACTTGCATTTTTTTTTCACACATTTACTGACAAAAGTCCTAGGAAATCTCTGCTTTTTCTTCGTCAACAAGTATAGAAATCTTCAAGGACACTATTCTCAGGAGTGTGTGTGTATGTGAATTACAGAACTATACCACTTTGTCTTCTCTATGCTGTCCTGCATAGTATTTTAAATATATATCTCAATGCTRCAGTTAATCACTGCTTCTTGTGCTGACTGCAGGTGCAACTGCAGCAAACTCCTATGGTTAGAAGACAGGCAAGTAACAAGTGTTTTTGAAATGTAAATACCACTCTCTTACGGAAATTAAAAGACACTCTTGTCTTAGAAGGAAGGGAAGGGATGTATCAAGTCCACAACACTTGAATTAACAGCTTCTTGTGACTCCTCTCACTTGAATAAACAGCTTGTGACTCCTCTCTCTTCTTCCAGACATACAAGGTTACAGAGATACTTTCACTGAAACTGATTTTTTGTTAAGTTTAGAGGCAAAGTATGCTTAAGGAAGTTACTGAACAGTGTTCTAGTTGCTTCTAAAGTCATGTTTCTGCTAAAAGGCAAAATTCAATTTATTTCTGATAGTACTGCTTCTTCCTGTCTTTATCATAATTTACAATGATAAAGCTTGATTTGTATTGTTCATGTGGAAATGATGGTTTTATTAGTAAATACTAATTTACTGGGTTTATTACCATGTAAATAATGAGATACTTCATGTGATAAAACCCAGTCAAATGACCCTACTGTAACTGCTGCCATAAGAAACCGCTGAAATACAAAACATTCACAGCAGTTGTGGATATAAGTTATCTGAAATTTTGTTTAAGCAGCTTTCTTACAAAACCAAGAACCAGGCATTCTAGGACCATTACAAAGAGATAATGCATCCTTCAAAACATTAAGAAACAAGGAAACAGAGATTAAGAATTTTTTTTAAAAAAATGAGAAATGGTGGGGCTGCTTATGGCTGCCTTCATCTCTCAGTATATTCTGAGGAAAAGTATACCTCAGAGGGCTAATGTAGTAAAGCTAACCCCTCTCTTCAAAAATACCCTTAGTGTTTTATTCTAAGAGCAGTAGTTGACATTTACTCCATGTGCAGAAGGAGCATAAATACCAGAGCAAAGGTACTAACAAGTGGGGAGGGGCCAGTAGTCCATTTTGCCCTTTATGAGGAGAAGGGCTGGATTTTTATAAACTTGTTGAACCAGTCCTGAGGCAACAGGCAGCACAGTTCATCATGGGAGGACATGTGATTTTATTCAAGAAAACAGCAGTCACGTTAGTTGAGCACCGTCCATGACTGAGGCACCTTTGTGCAATGGTGCAAGGTCCTGAACAGCCAATCCCTGCACTCTGAGTTTTGGGCTCCCACTTCTATTAAAGTAACACAGAGAAATGTAGAATCTGCATCTACCACCATGTTCACCAATATACCATGTCCCCAAAGCGCCACATCTGCAGGGTTTTTAAACACTTCAGGCATGGTGATTCTGTCATCTCCCTGGGCAGCCTGTTGCAATGCCTGACCACTCTTTCAGCAAAGAAWTTTTTTCCAATATCTAATTGAAACCTCCCCTGGTACAACTTGAGGCTATTTCTGTCACTCAGTCACTTGCTTCAATGGAAGCCAGGGCATCAGAGTATAAATCATTTCTTACTGTCTGTGAGAAAGGCTTTCAGCTTCTGATTTGAACAAATAAAATTTCTTGCTCTAGAATGACGGTGATGGTGTGGATCTTACAAATCTGAAAGACCTAGGAGACAATTCACAGAGAATCAAGAATTCACAAAATAAGAAACCAGTGCTTACTAATCAGGTATGTTTTTCTCTTTTTTTTCTGTCTAATAGCCTTATGAAAATTTGTAAACCTCAGAATTAATATCACCAATGTGATAATATATCCCAAACAGATATTTTAACAAAATCTGAATAACATTTAAAATGCATAAAGTGACAGGAAAGTGAGTTCTCAAAAATGTATTGAGGAAAAAAACAAAATTACAGGATGTGTGGGGTTCAGAAAACACATTTCTGATGTCATAATGGCTTCATACAAGACAAAAAAGAGACATCACAAATGCTAATCAGAGGGAAGACTGTGGATGAGAAGTTGATATAGAAGCATTTTCTCCTAAGAAGGTGGAAAAAGAGAGTCTGTAAACATTGGTTTTAGTGATACAATTGCCAAGTCAGATAATTAGTAGTATTAAATACTCGATAGTAAATTAATATTTAATTACAAAATGAACATACAAAATAGGGAAAATCTCAGATAAACACTTGAGGCAGTAAATCCTGAGTAAAACTGACCAGAGAAGAAGAAAGCACAATATTCACTGTAATAATAAATGCATTAATTTTGACTTATTTTGACTGTATGTTTGTTTAAGCCCCCATAGTTAGCATCTCGCTATGAAGACATGAGAGGTTAAAAAAATCCACACATTTTTTACCATTGTCCGGTATTAACATTTTCACATCCACAATCCAGAAATAAGTTGCTACTCTAAAATTGCAATTCTCTTGTAAATATGTCTATTTGCCAAGTTTGGTAATGGTACGCAAAGCAGCACATAAGGAATACTTGATGTAGTAGATACTCATTTCTATCTTCTATTGCATTTTTAGATGTGATCAGAGGCAGCAAAGGCATGCTGAGTAATGTCTGTGCTCTCAAAGCTGAATTAATTCCAGATATACAGTAATGGAAAGGATCACTTAAACTGCTCTGATATGCACTCCTGGGAACTAGATTGGGGTCTGAGATCCTATGAGAGAAAAGTGGTAGATGATGCCTATACCTTCATCTCCAAAAAAGCCTGCAAAAAGGAAATTGTATAAAAAAAAAAGAGAAGATTTTCAGTGCTGATTGAAACTGTAGAAAAATGAAGAAAAGTAGTGGCATCAATGGAAGCTTGATTTGTATCAGAGAAACCAATTTCCCACTGAAAGTGTTCATCTGAAAGCATTCAGCTGCTACTTGGTGCAAGTGTATTATAAATGTGTGTATTCGCACCAGCACTTTCTCAGTCACACTGTGACTAAGGTATAAGAATTTATTTTGGCAGTCTTTACAGTAATGAACTTAGTGTCTTCCCATGCTGGCAGAAGTCCTCTACACAGCGCTTAGGTAACTCTCTGCAAGAGCCAACACTCCCCAAGAGCTAGACCTGGTTTGGCCRTGAAAAATATTTAAAGGGTTTACATCCATTCTCCAATTTCTGTTTGTATCTGCATGCTTTCACACAAAGTTGTCTTTGATTTCAGATTTTCTCAGCACTTCTTAATGTCATTGCCGTAAAGCATCTGTGTCAATAAAAGAGTGACACAGTAATATTGTGAGCATATTTTAGTACATTGTAAACATGATGAAAAATGTGACTGATGCTTTTTTAATTGAAATACTCCAGAGGAAAACCAGGCTATATTCACAAGACAAACCATATATTTCACAAATTCAAAGAGCYGGAATTCAGGCTGTAGGTGATCAAGGCACAGGGAGTATGGGTGTGTGATGGTAGAAAGAAAAAGGGCACCCTGCCCTGGCCTAGGCAGCACATGAAGTGTGGGCACTGGGAATGAAGATGGGAATGAAAACAGTATCTATAGGACATGAGCTTCCAGCTATGACCAGGAGAGTGGACATAGTGCCAAAGGGAGTGTAGGTATCTGCAAAAATGAAAGCATGGCACTTCAGTCTGGAGGGTTGGAATTCCCATGATTTATATTGTAGATTAAAATATCTGTGAGAAGCATTGGTATGCAATATATGCCAAATTTAAACAGCTCAGGAGTAAATTACATTTATGTAGTATTATCACTCAATGTTTCTCAGATGAGAAGCCTACCTTGTACAACCACTGCGTAGAATGCTGCCAGTTACCAAAAGTAATAGTAACTTAGTAGGCATTTTTYAGGTTTGCTTTGCTTCTCAACAAGTCTAAAGAGAGAAAGAAATTGAGTTTTGTTAAAATACAGCCATAAATTGTACAGCAGCTCCACAGAGGAGGTGTGTTGTGTTCCAGCCATTGTGGATGCTCTTACTAGTTTTGTAAACCCCACAGCACCCTGCTCCAAAAAGTGCAGCCAAGAGTATCAGCAGACACCTGTTGGTGTCAGGCTGAGTTTTCCCTAGGAGAGCAAACAGCAGCTTCCACATAAATGCTGTTCCAGTCTCGTCATGTGTTAGTTTTGCCTTTGATAGTATTAAAGTCTTGGCCGGCTGAGAGAGATGGGGTTGTTCACCTGGGTGARGAGAATGCTCCAAGGGATCGCACTGTGGTCTTTCCAGCGCTTAAAAGAGGCTTACAAAATAAGTGGGCAAGCAGCTTTTAATAAGGGCATGTAGTTACAGAACAAGGGGAAACGGCTTTAAACTGAAGAAGGGGAGGTTTAGATCAGATACTAGGAAGAAATTCTTTACTGTGAAGTGACCAAACGCTGGAATAATTTGTCCAAAGAAATTGTGGGTGCCCCATCCCTGAAAGATGTACTAGGCCAAGCTGGATGAGGGCTTGAGAAACCTGGTCTAGTGGGAGACATCCCTGCCCATGGCAGGGGGTTGGAGCTCAATAATCTTTAAGGTCCCTGCTAAACCAGGSTGTTCTATGACTGTGAATCAGGTCTCTCCCTGGCAACAAACTCAGGGCTTTCCAGGACTTCTGGCAGCTGCCGAAGCAGGGAAGACAGAATGCAGAGGCCAGGGCACCGTCTCTGGTGGGCCTTGCTTTCCACAGCAGACTGGGGAATTGAGTTATCAGGAGCAGCAGCGACAGAAAAAGAAAAGGTAAACTCACCTGCAGATTGCCTCTGCTCCAAAAGTGGTTGAGCACKGTGGGCCGCTCCTGTGAAGAGGACAGGACATGTCCACCAGGTCAGGCAGACACTGAGTGCCTTCACTGTAATCCTGGCCAGGCCTGGCAGGGCCATCAGCAGGTCACAGCACGGTTTTCAGAGCGGGCAGCGTGAGGGCCACATGTGGGCACAAAGCTGTCTTTGAGCACGATGGCTGCCTGCCCTGGGCCCTGGCCACTCCACAGGCCCCACCGTGAGCATGGAGGTACATGGCTGTGGGACAGGCACCTTTCTTGTGCCCTGCTGGAGTGGGGTGAGGGATGTGGGCTGGTGGGGGTATGACAGTCCCCACAGGAGCATGGAGAAGCTTCGAGGAGTGCCACTCTCGGTCACCTCAGGGCGGTCCCCAGACTGCAGGTCAGCCTGCAGTTGTGTAGAAGCTTTAACAGCTCATACTTACGTGGGCTCAGGTAGAAAAAAAGCTGTTTTCCTGATAAAAGTGCTATCTGGCCAAATTTTATATTTCTGYTGCAAAGTCTGTGGATGATAGCTCTGTTTAAGGGATTCTCAGCTATTATCCTTTCACAGCAGTTTTTCTTAATAATAAATGTATCRGCTTAGTTAAATTTTTAAAATGCTAAGCCTTGTCCAATTTAAGCTATCTCCGTACGCAAAGTTCCACCATATTACAGTTCTGCAAAGAGAGAAGCAGCAAACCCAGGGTGGTGTTTGCAGGGGGTGCTGGGCCAGCTGGCTGATTCACAGCACTGCCTTCCCTTCRTGGAGCTCACGCTTTTCACCCGTATGCAGTACTAATGTACTCTATGGGACCCTGCCTTCTTCAGGTCTCAGTAACACTGATTTTTATTCCCTGCTTTATTTCCCCTTTGGAAAATGGTGTGGATGACTTGACAAAATTCACAGCCAGTCTATACGCTGGGTTTGCCTGATACTGATCACAGAGTTGGTGGCAGATGGGAACAGTGCACATGTTACAGACAGGAAAGTCTAGGTACTGCTTCAGCTATCTACCATCAGGGATGCATTTTTGCACCTAATTTAACAGGCATAAACTCCTGACAGCCTCGGCACTGATCTGTTTTCCAGGGGGATGAATACATCAATATTGAGAGTGATCTGCATGAAAACAAAGGTGCCTCCATAGATGATGAGCAACCACACTCAAAAGGGTAATGTGCTTTTGCATGAGTAACTCTTCCACTCACTTCATCCTGGCCTAGACAAAAAGCTGCCAGTGTTCCTGCTTCTGGAGTGACAGCTCTGAATTTCCCTGCTGTACCTGCATGCTACAGAGACCTTTGTATTGCCTAGCAATTCGTGTAATACAGAAACACAACATGTTTTAAATTACTGTACCGTACAAATAGGATCTGTGATTGTAGAACTATTTTTTTAAACCTTGGAAATTGAAGGAGAGGTATTTTTTCTTCTGGTACACTAACTACTTTTCCAATATATCTATTTGTTTTTTTAAAGAGAGGTCTTACAGAGTAGTCTCTTTCAGGAAGTTAAAGATTCACTGCTGTCTTTCAGTGTGCATAGTCATTTACTCCAGCCCAAAATAAGAACAGAATAGCTGTGAAAAACATTTTATTGGCATGAAATTTTTACATTTTGCACTACTTCTTTTACATTTTACGGTTTGCACTACTTCTAAGTGAGCACACAGTGAAAACAACAAACCCTGTTTAAGGCATTAAAAACATTAAGACACAGTACTTAAAATACTRAATGTTCATATGTGTTGTTGATTTCTTTCAGCAGATAGCACTGAATAGGCTGTGGTCTGAGACAAGGKGCTTTTGAAAGATCAGTCTGTTGATAACTAAGGTTCACTACAAGTGCAAGGTGTTAACATACCCTTCTGGAGTACATGCGCAAGAGAAAATTGATTTCTGAGTTGCAAGCAAGGATACTTTTGACATATTCAAATATTTCACATTAATGTGCTTAAGCAAGATCTGGTTTTTCCACATCTTTATTTCAAGATCAGTTTTTTCCATATCGTAATTTAAATTTCAAACCATTAGGATCGGCTTTTAGAAAGGAATTTTCCTTAATAAATTGACTGTATTTCATAAGAAATACATTTTTTCTGCAGCCTTTCAGAACAGAATTGCATATGTATGACATATGAGTCTAAATATTGAAGTTATCCTGGTTACCAAAGTGATAATAGCCTAAATTAATAAAATACAAAGGAGAGAGAGGTGTTAGATCAAAGAAGAAATTACAAGAAACTGTAATCTGAAAGTAATCATTTTAAATCCCAAAGCACTCATAAGCAGCAGGAGAAGATAATAGACAGTATTTTTTCCTTTCCTTGGGTGATGGATGAACCATAAATTTGATGAAGTAACTCTGCCTTTTTCATTTATTTGTCTCTCATTTCTCCCTTTTTCTTTTTCTGTTGTATCTAATCTCTCTGTTGAGATTGGGTAGATAACCTAATGTTCTTACAAGTTAAAAAAAAAAAAAGTGCTACAATTTCCGAAGCAACAGGAATTCCCAGAACTGAAATTGAAATATCAAAAACAATCAAGATTTCTCAGAGAACCTATTACTCTTTGTACTTTATAAAGAAGTATGTTCCTGCTCTGTTCTTCTGAGTACTGATATAATTTAAATTAATATTTCTTGTTTCTCTCAAATTTGTTTTAAATTAATTTAATCTGTTCAAGTGTAGGAAAGAAGCGTATTCATGCTGGATTTCGGTGTGCATCTAACTCCAGCTGCATTTAGTTTCCAAACAAGTAAAGCCTGAATCATTAGCATCTCTAAATACAGCATTGCCTTTATGCACGGAGAATGTGAGGCACTGCTTTAGAGATGTCTCTAAAGCAGTGCCTCAGATGACAGAGCCATAGCTGTATTCTTTTTGAGTTTGCACAATATGAAGGTGTTTATTTAGCCACTTCTTTTGTAACTGATGCATGTCCACATCACCAGCGTACTTGACACTGGAAATATGTGTTGAATGAACTCCTTTAACTGCTATTTCCCTAATTTCAACCTCCCTGGAGGAATCACTCTTTTACCTTTAGTGATGAAAACAAAGGAAGTAAAATACTTCATAATTGGAAGAAATTATACTAGAGCATGACATTCAACAATTTTAACTCCTATTAGATGGTGAGATGAAAAGTTAATGTAATAAACAACCAAATTTAAAAAAAAAAAAAAAGAAAAATGTCTGCACACTGCAATAAGGCTTTAGATGGATATTAGTTACTTTACATACACAAAAGCAGCCTTAGGTCTTCACAGCAACAAAAAAAATTACAGCAACACTACTGTTCCATATAGCAGTGCTGGGCTAGCTGTATGAGCAAAGCTTTATGGGTCTAATAATGGACACTGAATCTTTAACAACCTACTCAGTTTGCACTAACCTTGTTAACAAGACCTCTTCAAAGAAGAGCTGTACTTCAGAGGGTAGCAGAGCTGGCCTGCTAACTGCAGCCCTTCATGTAATTGGCAGATTGTCCCATTAGATATCTACTGTATTTTCTTTTTCACTTGTCCAAGATCAACCCAAAGAAGTCCCTCTCAAAAGGCACTTTTTATTTGGCACTTTGAGATCTAAATTGAACCCTTACCAAGTTCAACAAACTCCAGTGGAGAAATTTTGACCAATTTAACCCAATTTTCTTCTGCAAAAGCTTACATTTCTATTCTTTGTTATTTTTTTTCCTCTAGGCTTTTACAAAAAGAGTATGATAAGATCTATGAATTTTACAAGAAACATAAAACTAGAATTCACTATGTGATCTATGGACTTTTAATAACAGGTACAGTATGTTTTACACCTAGGATTGCTGAAGCCTTATTTATTTCCCTGTATGAGATTATAGGCTGTGCTCGGTCTTTGTCTGATGTAAAAACTCAATTGCCTTTAAGAATGTATATGAAAGTACTTAGGAATTTTGTCCCAGAGAAGATTCCAGATTGCAGAACTTCCGCTCTAGTCCCAAACACAACAAAAGCACAAATCTTTGTGAACTGCTCCTGTAGCATGTTTCAAGTCTGACTAGCAGTTACATTTGTGATAACAGGATTGTTCYGTCTTTGTGTCTACTTTATTGCCATCTACCTCCAGAACTACAGTTTCAGTAACTTGTCCAAAACCATGAAATCACATTGAAAACAGGCACCAAGTAGGATTGAACTTAAGTTGGCAAGCTGGAAATAAATATCTTCTGTTCTGACCCATATCACTCAATGTCCACAGCAGTTATCTTCTAGAGTAAACGTACTTATGATAGTATGCACTGTAAAAACATTCCAATACTCTCTCCCTTTTCTAATTAGTCAGTAGGTTTGTTGGTTTCCTTTCACTTCACCAAGTTTGTTTTTGAGATCTTCCTATTTGAACACTGGGAACACAGAGACTTGAAATGTATCTGTGAGATAGGCATCAGCACACCAGAAGATGGTTATGAAAGTGCTGCTTGCATGCCAAATATCCTGCCCTCATGACATGGTCTTGTCTTGCTTTGTCATAGTACAGACATGTTCTGGCTCAAAGAGAGTGAGTGAGTTCTAASAATAAGTCAGGATTTCATACATTAATTCTGTAAAAAGCCAACTTGCCTTTCAAAAATCAGTAGTCCTTCCTTATTTGCCATAGACAAAAGCAAAGTATTAATTACAAGAACTGAATAATTTTTGACCAGTATTTATTAGCAGTGAACCTGTCAAATAGCAAAGAATTTCATAGCTACTTTATGAAATAAAATATTTTTAAGTTTCTCAATTACTTGAGAAGGTCATCAAATCAGTCTRTTGATGTTTCTCAGTATTTTTTCTAGTTTTATAAGAGGATAAACTCATTCTCTTTTGAATAAAGGAACAAGACTCSTACTCTTAAGTCAAACTTTTTACACAGGAAAATAAGTTCTTTAGATGTATTTAGTTTTCCAAAGGTTTACATGTTTGATAAGAACTTGGCAGAAGCATGTAGTCTACTTTGATATAATGAAAGTCCCCTTACAGATCAGTGAATATATCATAAGTATCTACAAAAGCAAATTTTTTCAAAATTTAGGCTGAGGGTCAGAAAAGCATCAAAATGATAAACATAGGCCTGACTTTGATCRCATTGTTTAAGATTGAATCCTGTGTTTTGTAAGACCATCCTAACTGACATGTTTGTTCTTGTTTCTATGACAGCATACTTGGCAGTAGTTATTGCAGCCTGCAGCTTGAATTTTCAGAGAGCCTTGCCGCTCTTTGTCATCACAGTCCTAGCGATTTTCTTCATCTGCTGGGATTTTTTAATTGCCAAGTATGAAGACAGAATTTCTGCGTTCTTTTCCCCTGGAGAAAGATACATGAAAAAACAGTGGTTTTGGCTGAAATGGTAAATATTAATTACTTTCAATTTATGTAGAAGGACAGTGCAYTAGTCAAGTTATTCCTATGATTTTATTTCATCCTACTCCCTTATAAGCACAGGGAGATGGGTCAATCATACCTACATAATAAAATCACAGCAGAACTCAGTGTTTACCAGTTTATAGATATCAGAAATACATTTAGAACTGCAATCCAGTAGCTAGGGATCAAATGACTTGACAGAAAATGAAGAAAAATACCAAGAATTGAGATAGGATAAGTTTGTAGTTGAAAAAGACTATGTTCACAGAAGTTCATGTGTGTTGCAGCCATTTGCRTTCATTCTGCAAGCCAGAAGTGCTTCACTGTTGCTTGTTTTGAGAGCTGTTAGGTTCATAAAAAACTTAACTCTAACATATAAAAACTGCTCAAGACTGAAGCTTATTAACTAGGTACTGCTTTTCCACATACCTCCACAGCAATTTTCATTTGACCTTCAGGAATCAAAACAGGTCAGCCAGATTTAGTGTCGTAATAAGGTCATATGACYTTAATTTGGGATGGTAGAGCTTCATCTGGTAGATAAATGGTAGGTAGTTACATTTGTCAGACACTTATTTCAGGTATTCCAGAGCAATTATCAGGCATRTTGGAGTTATCCCTGGGAAAAAGAGGAGCCGAAGGAGCATTGTAGACCAAAGACCAAATGAAATCTCATTAAAAAGGAAAACTAAATTGGTCAGCTGCCTTCTATTTCAGCTAGGTCACCTACTAGCTCAGAGAGAAAGAGCTCTAATGACAAGTCGTTCTCAGTTTAGGGAAATATCCCACCCTAATTCTTAAGATTTAAAATAATATTGCAAAGACAGGTGCTATAAAGACTGTGGATCTTCTGCTCAGGAGTCACATTGGAGAGCAGTCACACAGATGCATCTCCCTTAGATGATCTGSCAGCCTCTTGGGGGCATGAGCAAAAGGTGCAGGAGAGCCTTGAGGAGCACATGGAACAAATCAGGGGCAGTAAATGCTGTATTATCTGTGCTGCAGTCCTGAAGCTGTGCRTATCGCAGATTAGGTGCTTAACTCTATTTTTTGACAGAAAGACTTTCAAATATATAAAGTATTACTCAGCATTGCAATGGTCAAGCCATTTTGTGGAGTTTGTTTGCAATGTTTTTAATACACATCTAAAAATAGTATCTAAGTATCTAAGTGAAAGCTTACTGTTAGACAAAACTAACATTAAAGACTCAGGACTGTGGTTTTTTCCTCTCTGTGAATGGGATGATGTRTTTTGTTGCCTTCCCAGCTGTTGAGTGGTAATTGACTTTGATAAATAAGCTTTGAATGGTTCTGTCATTATGGGGACCATAGAAACACCGAAACACGATGTACACGTCTCTTGTCATTGTTTCTGAGGCAGCTGAACAGACAGCAACTGGTTACAAAGAAATGAGTTGTTTATAACTTGGTCCTCAGTACAGAGTGCTTCATAGGCCACCAGCTAAACAGCACAGTGGAAGCCATAAAAACCACAGCCTGTCTTGCCCAGAGCTAAGGAAAGACTCAAGGAAAGGAAGGAAGGAAGGGAAGGAAGGAAAAGAAGCATGAAGTTCGAAAGGAGGATATTTTATCAAACTTCATTTAATAGCAATAGCTCCCAGACTAGAGTCACTCGTGCTCTTTTTTTGGGTTTTCTCCCATATTTTGATTTGGAGGACATTTCTTCCAGGTGACACAAAGGGATGTTTCAGAGGTACATCAGCAAAGGCAGGTTCCTTCTTGTGTAGAGMTACATGTTTCAGCCCAATACATTGTACAAAGAGTTTATTCACAAAGAGAGGTGGAAGTATTTTGGTTATGGGAAGGGAAAAGAATATCCCAAATGTCTTTTTCAGGATGTCATCATGCTTTTTCTTTTTGTTTTAGGGTATTCTGTGCAGTTCTTATTATAATTATCGTCTTCTGGCTCATCTTTGACACAACAAAACAAGGATCTCGTCAGCTAATCTCCTTTGGTGGGCTTGTGATGTATGTTCTCCTGATGTTTATCTTTTCCAAATACCCAACCAGAGTGAGTATTCAGTCCATGGTGGATCATTTGGGAATTTTTATTCAGTGTTTAAAAAGCTATTCCTCTACACTAGGACCAAGTCTCATAAGAGTAACAGAAAGTGTTGGAAAGCAAAAATGTAGGTTTGCATGAGACCTATGCAAGAGAAAGAGACCTGCACTGCAGAAAGCAATGTATTTAATTTCTGAGGAAAGTAATTTTGCTGTTGGGGAACATGTGCGGATCTGTACCAACACCTKTCTCTCACTATTTTGGGAAGCTGTTGCCCATCTTTTTTTCAAGCCTTGACTCAGGTTGGAATACCTTTGCTCTCTGTGCAAGCTGAGATAGACCTTCTCCATCTTTTTGTGCAGGAGCCTCACCACAGTCAGGACATTACAGTCAYGTAACTTGAGGTCACTGTCATCAGATCAACACCAATTGACTGGAATTGGATATAGGATAGACTTGTATAATACTTAATCCCTCGCAAGTTTATTTCCCGTTGCAAATTCAGCAGCTGAGGCCAAGCTGAGGTCCTCACTTTTTGCTCATGCACTCCCATAGGCTCATAAATGCCATTTTTTCTAATTTTCCATAAGACACGTCCATTCTGATATTGSCGTGGTATTACAAAGGGCTTAGTTCAGCCACCACAACTACCATCTCTGCTTCTTACTCCTGTTTGCATGCCTCACATACCAGTTCATGCTCTCATTAATCATATATACATTGTCCAGGTCACRAAGTTTTCCCAGTGCTTTTCAATATTTGCATCAGTGCTAAGGTTTTCTTAGCAGATGAAGTCCTTTCAAAAAGGACTAATGAACTTACCCCATTCTTTGCAATTGTTCCTGTCTCCAACTGAGGTGAAAACTCAAATTCCAAATGCTTTGTGCTTTCCCATTAGTCCTCATTAYACCTAATTGGTTTGTGTTATTCAAATATGATCTGATTAAATTAGAGAATGCCATCCCAGCTCTTTGTCTTGTAAGTAATTTGATTCAATTTTCACAAAACAAAGATGTTTTCTGAGGCAATAGAGCAGGAATCATCAGTGTAATGAAGGGGAACTCATCACAGGCAGCCACAGTTTTTCCTGTGACTGGCTTTACGTGATGAATTATGACATATAACTGAGAAGTTCTCAGTATCAAAAGTCTTTAAAGCCGGAGAACAGAAACACAGTTGAAATTACCAAAGAACAAACCCTGTAGCAAAATCTCCTTATTCACTGTCCAAATATATGAACATCCACTGTCCAAATATATGAACATCCAAGTCCCCTACAACCTGTTTTGCCAGCTTTTCCTATCCTGAGGTATAGTCAGACAATCCTGTTGCAGTGTTTAAATAAACATCTAAAGTAAACTATTATTTATTTAAATAACAAGCAATTTATTTTTCTGTCTATCTAGGTTGCTTGGAGACCAGTATTTTCAGGAATAGGAATGCAGTTTATTCTTGGGCTTCTTATTCTGAGGACCAAAGTGGGTTTTGATGTATTTAACTGGCTAGGCATTCAGATCCAGGTAAGTTATTGATCAAAGTCCTTACTTGTTTAATATGATTTGAGAGTCTTACATAATATGAACAGGCTATTTACAGATCCATTAGTCCCCGGATTTTTTCTCCTCTTGAGGAAAACCGGATTCTCAGAAAGGTGATTGACTTSCTGAATTCAACCTTCTTCACATTATTTTTTTGTGCAGTTAATACAATGGTCAGAGTAATCCTGTTTGTTRACAGCTTTACTATCACTGGGCTGAAGTTATAACTTGCATTCATGAAACACAAACCACTGTTGTGCCAGAGTGACTCATAGTGACTCCCAGACATGGGTCCAAATCATCCTTGCACTAAATGTGATATGTTGAAAAACCTTGGGATTTAGGGGCAGACCCTGTTGTCTTCAGAGTAGCAACAGTGGTGGCATGAGGGACACTTACAGTCCTCATGATAGATAAGAAAATTAATTCAGATACATACAGGTAGCAACATTCACATCTGCATGCAGGATGGGTTCTCTGGAAGGTGTACAGGCACTGTCTGCAGGTGTCCCTGCAGACACAATTCTTTTTCTTTCAAAGTACATTACTGTGAAGTAATAAATGAGCAACATCCAAAATAAGGATCAGAGAGTATTCACTGAAGGATGTTTGGACTTTTCACCATAGGGATACTATTCTTACAACTAGTCTTCTCRGGTAATCAATCACGTGTAAAACCAGAAGTGCAGAATGTCCTATCTCTGTAAGAGCAAAAGCACAGATCTGATGTCTGTCTAATCTGCAGGCAGAGGGAGTCATCCGAGTTTTGTCACCAGGTTCTCATCTCTGACTGAATCAGGTCTGGTGCCCCCTTTCGTTAGCTTCATGTTTTCAGGTTTTACAGTCTCTTCTGTCAGAGCTAGTTAYTGTAACTATTATAATCTGTATTTTAACTCCATTTTAAACGGTATCGTTAATGCCCGTTTGCATCAGGAGTATAAAAAYGCACCATCGGATCAAAATTAATAAGTAGAAGATTCCCTTAGGCTAGTTCTTAGCTACACCTTTCAGAACTCATTACTTCAGGCTTCAAATCTCTATTTTAAACTGTATAATTTGTTGTACTTACTTGCATCAGATGGAGCATAGAAATGTATCACAGTATTGGGATTAAAAAKTAAATGTTTCTGTTAGTGTAGTTTATGGCCTCTATTGTGTTGGRTACTCAACAGAGCACAGCAGAGACCCTCAATTCAGCCAAAGACAGTCAGCGAGGTCCAGACCCATACAAACCAGAACCTAAGCTTCTTGGACCTCACCATATCTCAGACATATCTCTAGACTACTAGCATTATTTACTTGCATTTTCACAGGTGCCCAGAACTTACGGCTAATTTACTTTTCTCTCTGTCTCTAGACTTTTCTGGAGTACACTGATACAGGTGCCAAGTTTGTGTTTGGTGACAAATACACAGATCATTTCTTTGCTTTTAAGGTAAGACGGTAAGAAGGTTGTTTTACACTGCATTTGGCAGATAGACAATGGCGAAAGGAACAGTGTAGCTGGGAAATAGAGTTACACTATGTCTTGTGTCACAGTCACCAGAGTAATCAACAGGTAAATTATTCCTTATTATGTGACATTCTGAATAGAAAATTTGGAATTGCTTTCATTTACTGCTGTACACTGAGTTAGATTGTATTTATTTAGTTTAATTATAACATATATTGTATGTAGACAGACCTGACCACTGACACAAACATTACCTCCTGCCTATCTTCYGCACTTCTTCATGAGTAAAAGTGCTGTACCAGGCTGTGCTGTTGTACCTTAAATGCTGTGCAGGCCACTGCCTCACAGATGTTCCCCCCAAAGAAGTGGAAAGCCTAGAYGAGAATTTATTTATTCCTGGTAGAAGAGCTAGAAACTGCATGAGCAGAAAGAATTACATGATATTGTATTACTRTTAGGTTGGTAAGATCCCAGGGAGATTTCCCATCTCTCTCTTAAGAGACCTTTTTGGAAAACAGCTGGAATACAGCTTATTTGCTCTTTGCTCTCTAATCTGCACCAGCATCCTTCCTGGGTTTAATCWGTAGCCCATGCCACAAGGCTTGCTTAGGCTGGAATCAAGAGCATATAAAACAAAAAAAAAACCCTCCCAAATTCCAAACCAGCCCAAATAACAAATAAATAAACCCCAAACAAATATGAGAAATGTATCAGGACTTATGCAAAGACCATTGTTTTGGTATTTCAGATTCCTGACCATGGGTTTACATGCCTTTAATCCTATTTTTTTAATCAAGTTAATGTTCCGAGCTAGATATTTTTCAATTTTAGCTCTTTCATTACTTGAGAAAGAAGGTGCTATCTGTGAAAGAACCTGCTACTAAGAATAATCAGAACATCTTAAAGGATAAAAAAAAAATTAGKCATTTCATCAAAAAATATGAATTATCTTTCAAGAGCAGTACTTATGCACATTTGTTTCACTTTCTAGGCTTCTCTCACCTTTACTCTTCTGAGCACTCAAATAAAAAATTCCARTTACATGTTTTAGGGATGAAATTACTAAATTCCCAGCCCCTTGTTATTTTTCCTGTGGTTTTTGACATGGCCTTATGAATATGATTATCACTAATATCACTAAGTGATACTTAGTGCCTCCATGATTATGCAAAATACTTCGCTTACTAAAGCCGTGACTAGGGACCAGACAGCCAGAAGTTCTGTGTAGGCAAACATTGATCAGACTTGTTCTATGGTTCARGCCAGCAAAACAATGAAATTTCTAGAAGATGATAACAGGAACCAGTAGATTATTCTCACATTGAAAAACAAGAAGACAAAACTCATGAGTTGATTTTCAGAGCTGCATATATATAAGAATATATATGTAGTAAACAGAATGGCAGACTAGTGTACAACAATTCCAAAACATGCTCCATCTGCTTCTCCTGTAGACAGGGAATTCCCTTTCCCAACAACAGTGAGTGACAGCCAGCCTATTCTGTCTTGAAACACTTGTCATTTTTTTGGACATTAAGTCAGTCCAAAGCACTATTTGTGTCTTTCAAACATTTTATGAAGTTTTCATGTTGTGATGAGCTCTCCAAATCTTGCCCCAAGATATTTCAAAGCATGCACTAAAAGAGAATGCGTAGCTCCTGGCAGATTAGACAAGGGGCAGGATATGTCTTTGCAGAAGAATGTCAGTCCAGTTGTATCCATACCRCATCCTTAGCAATATGTGGGGAAACATGACTTTTCTGCCTAGTGAGGTGAGCAGACACATCCCATATGTGTGTTCTGACCAGTCCCCCATTGCCTTTAATCACATGGTTCTGGAATCACTAATTACTCATAAATGCATGTTTTTGCATACATAAACATTAAATGTATATTTGTGTSTGCAGGTAAAGAGTTTCAGAGTCCTAAAAAAACTTGCCCAAATAAACATCCAAGTGCTTAAGTAGATTCARAAAGCCTCTTAGTATTAAGTCTTCAATCCTGTTGACTCTGAAAGGCAAAGTTTGCTTTGAGCAAACAAACAATTAGACTTCTGTTAAATCTGTATCTTTCTTTTTACAACAGGAGGATTATGGCTCCCTGAGAAAGGCTTTGCTTTGAAGGCTTTAGGAGCATATGAAAAAGCAGGGTGTTCCTTAAACATTGATAGCAACTTCTTTAAAGGAAAATAAGGGAAAAATTGAACAACAAGCCACTAATGGTAGGGGAGTTGAGAGCAGCCAGCAATTTTAGCTCCCTGCTCTGCATGGTAATAACAAGAGAAAAGGCAGGGGAGAAAGACATTATTTTACTGATGTGAACTTTCCGCTATTACCGTGTGGCAAGCATATCCCTATGTGATCGCAAAAAGGGACAAAGACTCAAAGTAGAAAAAGTATCATTGTATTAACTTGTTGAAACAGCACAACAATATTGGTTAAATGCACTCCGTCCTTTCAGTGATTTTTTTCTSGTCAGCAAAACTGATTTTCTAAATGTTTATCAAAATTGTTGATCGTACCAGCTTTCCTAGAAAGCCATTGCTTCTATTTATTGCTGAGASCTGAACTAACGAAGTGGTTTGTTGTTTTGCATTCTGTTATTTGATTTAATTTATAAAGCATTATGTCATTATTGAAAACACATGAAAGCTTCCTAGTCTTAGCAGTTACGGGAAATGGCTGGAGACCCTGTGGACAGGTAACTGGGGATAGAGTTAGAGGAAATTGAGGAGTTATACTGGCATCTTAGCAGGAATTACAGCAGTATGGAAATTATACAGTCAATCACAGTTGCTGCTCCCTGGATGGATTGCAGTTGGCTTGACTTAAAACCTATTCCACAAGGATTTCCCATCACCTGCTGAGGGGGATGGAATGAAGGATGCAGCAGAGTGGAGACACCACAACTGGCTCTGTTGAAGTCCTTGCAGGGAAGGGAACTTGGTGGTGCTCTGTAGCTGATAAACTGCACATCACCTGTCAACYTAGAGAAAAAGGGGAAGCTGCCCCAATGCTGAGTCAGCAACTGTGGCAAAATCCCTCTCCTTAGATGAACTTGCTTCATTAAAGCTTAGTAATAATATTAACACGCAACTTAGTGCCAAAGTTACACATCCCTGAGGTACAGCCAYCCCTCACTGGGCATGCATTCTACACTCTTTTTGACTGTATCTTTAAAAGTGAAGGGAGAGACTTTTACATTAATCAGTAACAGTAAAGGCATATATGACTAGTCACTCATGCTCCACCTACACACAAAGAAATAGTGTGTAAGTAAGTTGAGAATGGGGCAAAAGTAAGGGAAGACTCCATTGTAACTGCTAGGAGGAGTAGATGGGCTGAACCTGTGTTCTTCCCCACAGGGGTGCCAACTGTTTAATAACCAGACCCTTTGTGCCCTCTATGTGGATACTTTTATTAGAGTTTGTCTGTGTAGTCCTTCAAGTACATTTTTGCAGTCAGATACTATCATCAACAAGCTTCAAAACTTAATCTGTCACAATTTTGTATTAATAAAGAGTGTTATCCCATAAAGTGTTGGTGTGCATCCCWTGCGGACACCAGCAGTCACTAGTGGTGGGTAACACACTCTTAATAAAGGGGAAGACCTGCTGAAGGCTCTCCCTTACACTGGTTTTCCCTCCAATCCAGCAGTGGATTGGAGTGGAGGGTCCCCTAAATAGGATGCTGACAGACTGGTAGGGTACAAGGGGTTGGGCTTTCCTGGGATGCTGACAGACAAATTAATCACTAAGGGTCAAATAAATCTCTTCACACTAAGAGTTGAAGTTAACTTTTCATATTACAGTGGTACTGTTTTAGCTATAACTTATCTGTCAGACTAATTTTGGACTTTTTGGAGGGATTTTTCTTTCTGTTGTATAGTAGCTTGTAAGTGATGGAGTATGTATTTAACATACTTGAGAATCAAGTTATAGAAATTTTATTTAGGATGAAAACCCCACATATTTAATAACCCATCGGACCAGTGTGTTGGACATTCATCCAGTTCTTCTAAATTATGTCAAAGGAAAGTATGTTTGTCTCCACAGTAAGAGACCTGTATTCACTTTTTGTATTTGTTAAAGATATACCTTCAAACAGATTCTGCTTAAAGAATGTAAATGTTGGAACTGACTTAAACATGGCTATAAACTAGTGTATATTATGCTAAACCAGTTTCAAAACAATTGTAGTCATGTTGGAAAACTATATAGATAAATGAAAATTACTCAATTCCAGCGCAAACAAATCTGGAAAGTCAACAATTTTGCGGCATAATTATAAACTTAATGATGAGTTTTCAGTACCTGTAAGTACGACTTCAAAAACATTACTGTTTTTTCAAAATTTGAATGGCCTAAAAGACAGGGAACCACTCTGAAAAGTTTTAATGATCWTGTGTCTTCAAACCAGGTATTGCCAATTGTGGTTTTCTTCAGTACAGTCATGTCTGTGCTTTACCATGTTGGATTCATGCAGTGGCTTATTGGAAAGGTATGCATTTTTGCCAGTTGGGTACTCATTTGGCTAGTGTGGGAAAGTTTCTAGACACATACAGAGGAACTGTAGCCTGGAAACAGTTGCAGRTGATACCATTGCAAAATCTTAAATGATGTGATACAGCACACTTTTCCTCTCTCAGTCTGGTTTCATTGCTTATGTCATATTAATTGTTAGATTTGCCTGAATAGCATTAGTGTTCCTCAGATGCCATACTTGCTTAAATATTCTTTTCTGCCTGGCCTTCTCTCAGCCCTCAAAATGCAGGATGGAGATTGAATGACAGGCAGTGGATTTCTGCTTTCTGCAGTAGCAATTGCCTATACCTTCCTGTCTCAGGTACCCTGATAAGATCGAAGCAGGTTCCTCACCTCATTCTATTAAGTGTTAATTTCTGCTTCTACATCTATTGCTAGTGTCTACTAAGATAATATCAAGCCTACTTTCTGTCCCCTCTTTCCAATAAACCTGTCAAAAAGATCTTCCTCTATGGTAGTAGTTAAACCTTATTTGAAGGTTTTCTTAAATTTGAAGGTATTCTTAAATGAAAAGTACTTTGCCCCTTACATTCGCAGAATTGTTATATAAGCACCATGAAGTTCACATAGCTGACATCAGAGTGCTAAAGTTGCAGTGAATCATTTTTTAGCCTTAATCTAAGTTTCACATTTTTTCCCTTCATATGATACAAGTCTCTTTGGACAAAAACATAAGTAATAAGAATGCATCAAAATATCTGTTGTGTTCAATTTAGTTTAACATTTTTGTTCCCAGAGGGAGCCTTGAATACTCTCAGTTCTGTTAAATTATTCCTCTTCTGTCTTATTTTAGCCTGTAACAATTACATGAGTGTGCAATACCTTGAAGCTGAAATCATTAAATCAGGAAATATTGTAACATGTCTCTGAACTCTTAGATTGATATGATTAACTCGAGAACAGAATGGAAGAGGCAGACTGAATTTTTGTTTATTTTTTTAAAACCATTTTAGGTTGGTTGGGTAATGCACATTTTCATGGGGACAACTCCTGTTGAGTCTCTGGTAGCTGCAGGTAACATCTTTGTGGGACAGGTGAGTTGGAGCACAGAAAAACATACTAACACAATATTACAGACTACAAGGAAATAATGCTTCTCACTGAGCATTTGTGTATTAAAAAAATAATCTTTTATAAAGCTAGGATTCCACTAGAGCAAGCCTGATGGTTGATTTTCAAAACTCTAGTATGTTTATATGTTGGCAGTGATGCACAATGGAGTGGATTTGGGAAGCCGAAATGCTTTCCCAACAGAAGGTCAAACATAAATGTAGGTGATAGGTTCCCTACCAGACTACTCCAAGGCTGAAGAAATGAGGGTTCTTTTTCAATTGAAAAGTCAAGTGGTGTGAAAAGATGGCACGCAAAGCAGGCAGGGGCAGGAGAGAGAGACAATGCAGAAAACTGAGCTCCAGGGATAGCAGTACAAGGCCTTATCCACAGAGTGGTCAGCATCTAGCAGACCACTTTAATGGGAAATGCATTAAATCCACACTTACAAAGTCTGCTCCAAGCTTAGAAGTAATGCAGAAAGATCACCAACTAGACACTAAGCCAAATTAACATGATATTTAGCAGTGATACATGACCACATCACACTGTTTCAAGATTTAGAGTAGCACCTCTGCATGACACTACCATCAGGATGTGCTAACACATGTGCCAAAGGGGCACGTTTCACTTGACTGACAGTCCTATCTGTAGCTCAGACCTGTGGCTGTCCCTAAGTCACTCAAATTTGGAATAGAGTTTCTTGGCAACTTCATTGTGTCTTTCAGGGAGAGAGCAAACCAGCCAGAACTGTCTTCAGACATTCTTGGAATAAAAAAGCCTCAATTAAAATTAAAATTAAAATTGGAATGAAAAAAGCCTCTATTAAACTTTGAGTCCCTGTTAGCACTAGATACAACTAGTGAAAGTGTGATGCAGACRCTCATTTTTCTGCACTGTTAACAAAAAAAAAAAACCCCAACTATGGACTTTTATTAGAGATTTCTTAATTTGGTGCTTGTCTTTCAATTCCAGACAGAGTCTCCTCTCCTGGTACGGCCCTACTTACCATAYGTCACCAAATCTGAACTCCATGCAGTCATGACAGCAGGATTCTCAACTATTGCTGGAAGTGTCTTAGGGGCATATATTTCTTTTGGGGTAAGACAGGAGAACTGGAAAATGCATGGTTTATCTGAAATCTTCTAAGTATGAAGCCCAGCTAAAATGCTTGAAACTATCGCTCAGTCATTCCCACTGTTTATTTTCTTCATCTCTGAAGGAATTAACCACAAAAATCCCATGTCTTCTGATAGCTCTTTCTCTACCTTATGAGCAATATGATCTTTTAATGACATCCCRTAGAAAAATAATCCAAACAACTAACAAATATAATTGCTTTCCACCATGTTTGTGCATTATACAGTTAYCACAGTGTATTTTCTATCTCCTGGAATTCTAGGTTTCCTCCTCCCACCTACTGACTGCTTCTGTCATGTCAGCACCAGCATCATTAGCTGCCTCCAAATTATTCTGGCCTGAAACTGAAAAGCCTTTGATAACTCTGAGGAATGGCCTACAAATGGCAAAAAGGCAAGCTGTTCTATTTACTGTTTATTTAATACTGCTGCAAAAAATGAGATATGGAAAAATAACTCTTCACATATATATTTTAAGGGGACTACATAGGAGGTGTGTGAGCAATCAGTTGCAGACTAATATACTGCAAATGGTTGATTTTAGATGAGTGTGCCCAGTTGCAATCTAACATATGCCAAGGACCTGGGCCAAACTGTAAACTCTCCAAAGAAAGAGGGAAATGCCTGCCTGAGGTGACCTGCCAGGAGGCTTTCCCATTAGTAATGTTGCTGTYTTTTTCCTGTAATGAATCTGCAAATGTAAACATGTAAAAGCAAAGGCAGAGCCATTAACAACAGAAGCAAACTTGTTGCCCATCTACAGGGAGACTTCTCTGGAGAATGATAGACAAAGCAATAAGTCTTATAAGGAGCTGTTCCTAAATGGCCCAGGCATTTCTGCAAGGGCTGCATGGAAGGAGAGCAGTGATCTCTCCCTAATTCTAACAGTGCTSCAGTGTTGAGACTTGACCTTTACCTTGCCATCTAAATGTATCAGAATTCATCCTCAGGGCACCACAAGCATACACTTCAGGTGTCTGCCATGGGGACTGACTGGAAAAGCCAACTTTACCTCATCATTCCTCTTCATTATTTTCTCTGAGTGAACAGCTTCAATACTCCACTTCTAATCAAGTGCGTGTACTTTTTAGTTCTGTTATTTTTGAATTTTAAAATGTTCACRCTCTGGTTTTCTCTTCATTGGCAAAGTGAATCGAAGAACCTGCTGGAAGCAGCCAGTCAGGGTGCGTCTACCTCCATCAGACTGGTAGCAAAYATCGCCGTGAATCTGATCTCCTTCCTTGCCCTGCTGAGCTTCMTTGACTCAGCCCTTTCTTGGCTGGGCAGCTTGTTTGACTATCCACAGTTGAGCTTTGAGGTATRGTCTCCCAGTTCTTCATGCAGCTTACATACATGCATAATTTGTCTTCCACAAATTTAAGTGCTTGGTTTATTTGTAGTTATTTTTGTTCTTGCTGTTTTGTGTTTTAATGTGATCCAAACCCATATTTTATTTGAATGTTCTGAAAAATTTCTGAGCAGTCAAATTTCTGCCATGTAAGTGTTTCTGTATCTGTTAGTCCACGTATAGTTTTCCTGTGTGGTGTTATTGCTAGCCTTCAGAGTAAGTTTACACAGAGTATGCTACCATCTGCCTCCTGATGTGTCAGGGCAGCAGATCTGTCAGTTACACACTTGGCAAGCTATTAACATCTCCTTCAGCTCAGCATTAAAGTGGCTTTATTTCCAGAGACTCCCATCAAATCGTTAATCCTCACTAGGTTCACTTAGCTGGGGACAGTGCAGCAAARCTGGACTTGTCTGAAGCCAGACTTATTTAAAACCACTTCATTCTCAGGACAATTACAATGTAAAACTGTACCCAGATCACTCAGTTGAGCAAATGGGTTTCAAACAGAACTTCTGCTTGCACCTAGGTCCATATATCATTTTTGAGCCAATGTAACCACCTTGTTTCAAGGTTTGGGGCTTTTTGTTATGCAAGACCCAAATAAAAGCACTGTGTGAAACCTGGATATAAGTTGTGTTAAAGGTGCTACAGAAGTGAACAGACATTCATAACTGATGTGTCTTCAGCAATGCTAAGTTAATACTCTGTAGAGCTTTCACAGATACCCCACTGCACCCAAGACATCCACAGCTGAGGAAAGGCAAAAGTGTGCATGCTTCAGGCACACTCATGCAAGGGCTGGTATTTTAATAACTGCTGGGTGGTGTAAGATTTGGACAGATAGATAGTCCACAAGAAATTGAGACACATGGACTGGCACCATGCATGCAGCCATCCTTCCCTTGGGGGTGAAACTAAGCAGAGAAACCAGCCAGGAATAGTAATAATAGCAAAGACCTCAGTTACATTCCCTAAGGACAATCTGATCGAACCTTTTCATGGCTGGAGCTATTTCCTCTCTTAAAAATAAGCCATACTGTGATATGGGATTTCTTCTTAAATTTGAATGAAACTTATAATACCAGGAAAAAATAGGTTCAGCTGTAATTGTGCCAGATGCACAGCTTGCATGCAGAGACAACTCTTTTGTTTACACCAGTTGAAGTCCAATAACTTGGTAATTAAGCATGTTCATTAACACATTTGATTTAATCAGCAGAAGAATTAGTCTTCTCAGTCATCTTATCAACTCTTATAGTTCAATCTTCCTTCTTTTCTTCTAACAACATACCTAATTAGAAGCCATTATTGAGGGAGGGAAAGGCACAGGAAACTTTATTTGATTTTAGATATAAAATTAGGGACATACAAAAAAATGTTGTTATATATAGAATCTGTTTTTTAAAATCTGTGTTTTCAAAATTACTGAAGCATGCCTTACTATTAAAACTCTCCCAGAAGTGGAGAGAAAAGGGCAGCAAAAATTCAAAGCTGATTTTCCTCTGCTGAAATAAACCATCCTTATTTTAAGTTTAAAAAAACTTACTGTATGTCATTGTTCTTTGGCCAACTGTATCTTTTGACCTGCTCTGTCTTTTACATTCTGCAGAACATTTGTGCTCATGTCTTCATGCCATTCTCCTTCATGATGGGAGTAGATTGGGAAGACAGTTTTATTGTTGCTGGACTACTAGGTTACAAAACTTTCTTCAATGAATTTTTGGCTTATGAGCGCCTTTCAAAACTGATTCAAAACCGAGAAAAGGGTGGAAGCATGTACATTAATGGTGTGAAACAGTATATGACAGTAAGTAGTATTTTCTGTTCTACAGATTTATTTGATGTGATACTTCAGTGTTGAAACTCAACTTATTTTTTAATGCAAACATAAAATGGTTGCATATTACTCTTAAGTGTGTCTTTGAGTGACAGAGTTCAATTATGAAAGTGCAGCATTGCTCTGTGAGGCTGCCATGATTGTATTTATCCTAGCTATTTTGAACAAACTTTGAAACATAAGGGCACAATTTTGGGCTTAAGACAGAGGCTGTCCTCAAGGCAAGTTTCTTCCTACCTGATTCTTAGCTAGCACCTCCCTATGAGCTACTTTCCCAAGAAAATCCCAAGGAAGAGCTTGAGTATCCTCCTGCCCTCAGAGGTTTGTCTGAGCAYTAAAGAGGCTTCCATCAAACTCCAGCAAATGGCACTACTGGCACACCTTTGCTGTAGGCTGCTGTTCCCTCTGTAGAGGGCAGTAATAAAAGACATGTATTACATGGCATACACCTSCCTGGTCACACATATTCCAACCAGGCTGTCTCAGTTGAGATTTCCAGCCTTGTTCCACCTCTCATTCACAGACTAGCCAACAGACATGTAACTCATGCTACAGCGTGAGGAAGGCAGTGCTAAGGGCATCCTAGAGGGGTGCAGGGGGCCAAAGGTCATGCARTGATCAAAGCTGACCTTTGCAGACGCCACTTCTCCACCATCTGGCATTCACATGCACAGCACATGCTGAATTCATCCTGAGCATAGGCAACGAAAACTTTACACCTGCATCATACCCAATTTTACACCTGCATTGGTACTTCATCCTCAAATTGAGACAAATTGTCACTGTGGAGAAACATAACTAGAAAGTGTTTTGTACAGCTCTTACTTGCTTGTTTGGATCAGTTGGGATGCTGTGGATACTTCATATGTTAAAAAAGAAGACTACATTCTTGACCACTTGCATTCCTGACTAACAGAACATATTTCACATGTGGAGATACAAAGCCAGATGGCCTGATCAAATATGCGCACCCTTGCCTGAGCATCCATTACCAGTGTTCCTGAAATTCCTGGCAGTAGAATCCTGGGCTACAATGATCTTTGATGTGACCTGCTATAGCTGTGCTTTCTTCTACTTTGTGAATGTAACRCTGAATTCCTACATGAGTGAATAAAGTTTTTTTAGCCTGGAATTCAGGCTTAAAGCACAGTTTCTATGAACTCTGTTTCACCTTGTTTTTCTCTTTTTTTCCCCCCATAAGATGTCATATGGAACATTCACATTCACTTTTAGTCCTATAAAGAGCTGTATTAGCCTCCACAGTGAAAAGCTCTGAGATACATAAACAGTTTTGATTCATAATACTGGTAAAAATTGGCTGGTAACCATTATAATTACAGTTCAGGTGAGGGTGTGCTTGGCCTCCATTTTTAATTTCTCTTCAGCTTCAGAGCTCTCTAATATATCCACACACAGACACTCACTCAGACTGAGCAAACAAGTGTGTTCACCTGAGTCATTAATTACATGGCTTCCTGTTTTCAGAGCTGGGAAAGTGCAAATGAAAGCAGGGAAATCACAGTACACASAGCTTTTTCTAGGAAAGGCTGGTAGAGTGGGTACTTGAAAAACATTTTCCTGCATTTGTGCAGATTGATTTGAACGTATCTACAAATTGATGTTCATAAAAGAGGAATTAAAACAGAGAGACATCGAATAAACAGGAAACCTGCTAGAACACTCACTCATTTTTAACTTGAGCCTAAAACACAGTAAATAGGAATTTAGAGCTGCCAGGAGGACAAAAATCCATTTGCTGAGATATGTTGCCTCCTTTCTCAAAACGCTTGAACTACGTTTGTCTTAGGGTTTGCAAAGTTTGTAGTCTGATTTCACCTAAAGYCATTTTGTGAGGAGTCCCTCTGTGTAGGCAATGCCGGCCTTGTCTCTCCTCTGAGATCCAGGCTTAGCTGGTATTACTCCAGGGAAAAAAGGTGGCAGAAGTCAGTATGGAAATGAGCTGTTAATGGGGATTCCAAAATCATAATGTCCCTCTCCACCTGTTAACACATCAATGTACCCACTTCCTAGGAGACCCATTTGCCTTCTCTGCACGGGGTGGATCATGCACAAAGCAGCTTTGTACATAGAGTCCTCTGCTTCTTCAGGGACAAGGAAGTCAGGGTTGCATACTAAACTGGAAGTTTTAACAGAGTTTTTTAGAGGCATCCAGCTATGAAAAACAAGTTGAGTTATAGCTCTCTGATTCATCTTCCAGAAAACAGCAGCTCAACTGCTACTAGTAAGATATTTTTTTCTTTAATTACTAGTACTCAATCCAACAAGGCACAACAATATACATGAAAAATAAAATCATCAYATGGTTTATGAGTCCTCACATATGCAGTGAGTATAAGTGCCTCTGACTTTCAACAAGAGAATAAGTCTACCATTCTGAAAGACACACCTTGGGCAGAAACCAAGCAAAACAGAGTGATTTTAGTCCTCGAATTTCTGAACCACAGTGCCATGATTTCAGATGTTTATATCACAATGAGCTGTTTCACACCACTCAGAGGATGTGTATTTGCTTTTCAGGTTCGCTCTGAAGTCATCGCCACCTATGCTCTTTGTGGGTTTGCCAACTTTGGCTCCCTGGGACTGGTAATAGGAGCCCTGAGTAAGAACCCCTCTCACAGACAATTTGTTTGTCGAGCAAATCCCAAATAAAGCATGCAAAGGAACAGGCTGTGGGTGAAGCTCAGCAACCTTAGGCCTGAGCAGCTGCTTTGCCCAGGCCTAGCACTCAACCGTGAATGGAGGGGCAACCAGAGGGGGACAGGCTTTTGTGTGGAGGTTCTGGGAGAGGTACTTATGGATAGGGGAGGGAGCCAAGCCCTTCTGACAGCCCTCCCTGCTTAGCCCTCAAGCATGAGCCTGAACTACTGCAACCCACAAGCTTGAGGAGGAGCAAATCATCTCCATAGCATGGAGAAATATGTAGTTGGTTGTTTCTTTTAAAACTTATCACATATATACACTAGGCTTATAGGGAAAGGGAAAAAAAAAACAGTTTTAAGAAAAAAAAGAATTGAAAAACCATCTGAACTCCTTACCAGGCAGCCAGAATTGCTGGCAGCCCTCTTTACTGCGAAGCCCCACTGGGGTCTGCAGTGCCAGCAGTGGGACAGGATAGAGGAGCAAGACCCAGCCATGAGGCTAGGCTCMTTTGAAGGGCACAGTGAGTCAACACTTATCTGCAGACTGCCAAAGCAAAAAGTTATCATTTTGTACACAAGCCACCCTCTTAACGGTGACAACCAACACTGGCAATTGGCCTTCAAATAGCCCACTAAAAATGTCTCATTTTCCTTCCGTGTTTCTCTTAGTTCAAACTGAAGGGTGGGAAATTGCTCTTGTGGGGGCAAAAGCTGACAGGTTCATCTTCCTTATATGTGTTTCAGTTTGACATACCCTTTATTTTTCTTCCTAGCAAGCATAGCTCCCTCAAAAAAGAAGGAAATAGCCGATGGAGCTTTGAGAGCAATGATTGCCGGAACTGCAGCCTGTTTCATGACAGCCTGTGTTGCAGGTACAGTGGTCAAGTTTGGTGTCCTCTGCAGTGACTGACCACCACATGGCAGTGCACCATCACCACAACATATCCAYCTGAGCTGCCCCTGTCACTCAAACCACAAGCATTTTTGGGCTTGGTAGGATTAAAAGTTGATATGAGAAAAGAAGTTCCTGAAAACTAGAATATGAAAAGATGTAAAGATTTTAGTTCTTCCATTATRCTTTTTCTTTTTCTTTTTTTTTTCTTTTTTTGGTGGGTTGTTGTGTTTTTGCTTTGGCAGGAAGGGGTTGTTGGGGTTTYTTTTTGTTTTTTTCTGTGTGCAACACAGGACTCATAAAAAAGCAGGCTATAGATGAGTTACAGTCCCTCCTCCGCACCACTAGATACAGAAATASAGAACTAATTTTGGAAAAAAAAAGAGAAAAGTGGAATACAAGCATGTAAAATAGTAGGAGTGAGCAACTCTAATGTTATATTGAGATTTTGAGTGGATATTATTTTCACAGAGCACTTAGGTTAGTGAAATGGTCCTAAAATGGGACTCCACAACAGATCATTATTTTCAAAATGAGAGAAAATGAGAATGCAACAGCCATTTTAGGGAGTAAATTAAAAATATTGTATTAATTGTACAAAAGACTAATTAATTAATTAACCAGTTACATTTCAATAGGTAAAATTTATCCCCAGTGTTTAATAATCCCATTTCCATCTCTCATTCCTGAGTATGTGATATACAAAATTGTGTTAYGGAGGTTAAGCCACGCATATTTCAACAGTGATCCTGGTACTTCATGTAGCTATAAACACTATGTCTATTTCTACCACAACTTCTTTGTGCTTTTGTGTTCATGATAGCAACAGAAACATGCATGTTTTAAGGATAAACCCACACTGTTTTCTGAGGGCTAYAGAACTTGTACACATGAAATAACATCAGTTATGGTCACAGCTATCCATAATATTTTAATACATGACACTACTCTGCATAACTGAGGAATCAGGAAGATGTACTAAAATGTGTCATTTCAAAATACTGATCTTAAGAATAATATTGTGAACAGCCACTGGGAAAATCTTTCCAAAATAATAGAATCTGCTTTGGAAAGAAAATTGCATTCCACCCACTTCTGCCATGGCAAATGCTTTCCTTATACTCTGGAGAAAGTAAAAAAGCCAAGCAATTTCTGTTTCCCCAGTTAAGAAAAGAACATATTAAAAATGTGTCCRTTTCCACAACACTACATACAGAAGGAGTTATCACTTTCATAWTTTTGTGTCTCCATTACTATAGTGCTCACATTTCTATTTGTAGGAAGTTTTGGAGAACATCTAGAAAAGCAAACTCAMTTTAAAACAAAGTAAAAGGTTCTGTATTAACTTGCACTGCTATAAATGTAGCAAAACTCCATTTTAGTTAAAGGATATGCACTGACCCAGCAGTGAGAAAGGTATTACATCATTATTTTTAGCATCATTAAAAGGTATTAGTATCATCAAAAAAAATAGAAAACAAAAATTATTTAAGTGTAAGAAGTTGCTGTACTTTAAATTTTAAAAGTAAATAAATTGTTGTAGTTGCTCCTTAATTCTTTWAAATGGTTCAGATTCTTCAAAAGTCACACAGTTCAAGGAATTTTGATCTTRTACCTTTACATAGTCACCTCAGGTGGTGATTTTGCGTCAGCCAGGATGGTTCATTTGATCATGCCCCCATGAGTCACATCCCCAAGTCTTATCTTCCTCTTCATTACTCATTAAGAAAATTGTAACTTACTTCACAGGAATGCTGACTGTGCCTGTTCTGGAAGTTCCTTGCCATGTCTTATTAGGAAATGCTTCCAACTTCACAGRTTTCCCTGCCCACAGCACAGAGCTAGTTAAATGCTGCCAACGTCTCTTCACCAGGTATTGAGGAACTTTTTATCCTCTGAGAGTATAATTTAGGAAGTTCATATATTCTCTCAAAACTTTTTTTTTTTAATTTGGCTTATTTTTTTCTTTTTATTTWACTTTTTYTCTCAGACACCTGCTTTCAGAACTTGCATCTTTTAGAGAAACAAGTATTTTATTGTTGTTTCAATGTTTTCCTCTTCTTAGGCATTTTTCTATTGCATGACAAATACATACAGAACCAACAGACAATTCAAAATATCTTTGTTGAAATCTCCTTGTGAAAAGAGAGGCACTGATCTCTCATCTGTGACAACCAATGATGGGACCTGAGGGAATGTCCTGAAGTTGTGTCAGGGGAGGTTTAGGTTGGAAATCAGGAAAAGGTTTTTCACCCAGAGGATTGTGGGGTGCTGGAACAGGTTCCCTAGGGAAGGGGTCACAGCACCAGCGTGACAGAGTTCAAGAGCATTTGGACAGTGCTCTTGAACGCTGAGCACAGGGTGTGACTCTTGGGGTGTCCTATACAGAGCTGGAAATCAGACTTGGTGATCCTTGYGGGTCCCTTCCAGCTCAGCCTATTCTGTGATTCTGTGTGAGCAACCCAAAAGACGAAAGGTAGAATTTTACATAAAGACTTAAGTAGCAYAGCTCATGTTTATCTCAAATGCTAACAAAAATAAATCAAATATTTTGACTAATATAATGTTAACATAGTATTTGAGGAGAGCAATTGCTGAAGGAATGTCAGGATCCTTTCCATCCTTTTCTGTCTTTTAGGGTGACTGAAGATAATAGTTTTGTCATCAGGCCTGTTTACATTGAAATCTTAACTTGCATTTAAAGTTGAAAAGTATTCTGAGATAAATTGTATTTCATAACTCTCTGTCCAAGGCAAAGAAGAAAGAAATACTCATATTAAATAAAGAATATATTCAGATGTATTTAACACTATCTCACAAAGAACCAAAGGTCTATGTATTAAGGTTATGGCAAGAACTTTTCAAATTTGTCCTAATGTACTGCCTTTTTTTTTTCCCTCTAATTTTCACAACTAATTGCTTTAGAAATAAATACTCTTAATTCATCCTTTTTCCTTGCTATTGAAAATAGAAGAACTTACACAGCAAAAATGATCTCTGGGTACATTCAGTCGTTCTTATCTTTTCATTACTCCAACTTTTGCTCATCACACTAATTTTAGCTCTACCAGGTTGCTACAAGGACAAGAACTTGCTCTATTTTCAGCAGAATCAGTGTTGAGCAGATGCTTCAAAATTTGAATAGAGAAGTGAAATAATTTCAGTTRTCTAGGGAGCTATACCATAGGCATGGGGACTTTATACAGAAAACCAGGAGTTAGCCTGATAAAAAGGGAGAACATCTGAATGTGGCACTTGGCTGGTGTTTGGAAAGTCTTCTCTCTGTTTCATTTCTCATGAAAATTTTAACACATCTAAAGTTGCTTTGGAGGAAGTGTATTCCTATGTGCATGTATATATGTAAATATACATACATGGCAGAGGAAAAGAGATTCACATGACAAAATTCTGTGATTCTGTGMGAAGTTCTTTTATCTAATTTCTGCCTTATTTCCTTCCCCAGTACAAGTCATTTGGAGGAGGTCTTTCCTGGAGGAAACTACAGCCTGAGTTCCTGGAAAATGTGTTGCCAAATACTGGGTCAACCTGCTTCTCATTGCACTTAGGTTAAGTTTTAATTTTTTTGAGAGGATAGATCATAAATAAGAACTGTGTTCCTTGGATGAAAGGAAATAAAAAAATTTCCTTTGCCACCATGAGTGTGAATTTCCCTCATACAATCTTTCATCTCATACCAGCCCAATTTCTCTGACTTGACTGGAATTACTCATAAATTAAACTGGGATAGGGGGAAGACACCTCTTGCTGTAGAATTCTTTCATTAAAAATCAGAATAGTAGAACATTTCTAAACCTGATTCCTCTGCTTGCATTTCTACCCTGAAACTGACCAATTTGCCAGATAAAATTGCTGTAGGCACAAAGAAAATCAGATTGAGAAGATTTAGCTGCCACTTAGAGAAAGCTATGAACTAGAAATAATTTTCAGAGTTGCCATCCAYGTCTAATGGTATTTCTACCCTTTTTGATAGCAAAGAAGTGTTTGCTGCRTGAAGAGAAATTACTGTTTTCAGAAATCCGCACATTCTGCAGAGATAACTGTATATATATAGAGATAACTATAATATATTTACTTGTATACAGACATATACATACATATATACCTACCTATATAGCTATAACTATAGCTGCTCATGATCTAAGCTGAAAACGTGCTTACACCTCACCAGCTTGTCCAGTGAAGCACCCAAATTGGGAGCTAACCACTCTATGCCACAGTCCTCCTGCCCAAAGAAGAGTGCAGGAAGTTGGTGCTTGTTTGGAGGTAACTCCACATGAATGGAAATATCCAGACTACAGTTAAAGTTTCCTGTATTAATTCTTCTAAATCTATCTTTTTATTGTGAAAATTGACCTGGAGTCACCAAGTAGGAACTTTTATACACATTTGAACATTTTCAAATGCAGGTAAAATCAGGTCCATAGCATGACTACTCTCTGTGAAGGCAAGAATAATGTAGGAGACCTGTAAAAGATCCTCTTGAAGAGGGGACCTGTAAAAGATCCTCTTGAAGAGGGTTCAAGTCTGTTATAGTTTTGATCTTCAGAACTTTTATGGACTCCAAAACTGAGAAGTTCTTTGCAGAGAGAGAAAGAGAGAACGATAGCGATACCTATTACTATCCTAAGATGTTGTTAATGCTAAAGGCTTGGGGGGAAAAAAAAAAGAGAAGAACTAAAGTACAAGAACATCAGAAAATTCTGACACATTTTCCAAACAAAAATTGTGCAGATGGTCTATTCAGATAAAGCAATTACTAACTTTTCAAACTTCCCTTAATTACCATAGAATCTTTTCCAGGAAATCCAGATTCATTAGCTTAGACAGCTGCCAGTACAGCTATTTCCAGGGGGTGTTTATTTCAACTTACTGTGAAAGTGCTAGTTTCCTGYAAAACTCAGTTTATTAACTTAATTTTCTGCAAAGTTATAAATGTCAGTATTGTTACTACTTGCAATGTTTATCATTGGTTTCATGTTGTTAGGTGTTTTTCTTTCGCCTCATTCACTTAGGTTTCGGAAACTGCATGTTTCAATTTTCAGTGTTTTTAAAGGATGTTGATAACCCTGATTATGACAGACAAGTGCACATATGTTTAATGTGAACCCATCCTAAAGAAAATGCATGGGTTTGGTCCACAATTCTTATCCAGCATGCTGGTTATAGCAGGGTTTATATTTCAAGTAATTTTAGGGTCTGAAATAGAGTAATATATTATTTCAAGGGAAATTAATCGGAAATATTGGTTCTCACTGTCAAGAAGAACAGACCCTATGTGCTCTGTTTACAAATTATCCCTGGCACTTTCCCTCTTTGCTATTTCCTACCATGCTCTATTTAATATCAGTCTTTTGAAATGGCTGCTCTTTCAATTCCACAATTGTATGCTGGGTAAACAAGTACTTGGACTAGTAAATGCAACCATGCATAAATTGCTAAAAAWGCATCATATAGCTGAAGGCAGTGGCTTTCCGTCTGCAGAAGAGATGTTCTGTGTTTCTTTTTTCAGACTCCTCTGTAGATGGAAGGCAATTTTTGCAGAGTATTTGTGAGATTTCTCTGCACCTGCTCAAAGGGATTGCCCACCTAGTTTGCTGATGACATAATGAGAAGACAATATGTGTAGAACATTATATCCTAAATGTAGCCAAAAGAGCAGTGAAAGCAGGAAGGGACTTCAACCAAGTACCACCATGTGTTCCGGTGACTGTTTTCCCTCCATCCTTATGATGGTGCTAGGAGTTCAGTGTAGATCTCCTTGGATCTTTCTCAACACGAAAGTGGAATAGTGCATTTTACCATCTTGGAGTTACCCTGGCAGCTTGGACCCTGAACTGTCAGTGCCCAGGAACACATTTCTGACAGTACCAGTGGCAGCAAACCTGCATCACAGAACTCAAAACAGACATTTGGTTTATTAAATGCTTGCTAGCACATGTAGTAGGTTGACTTTGTGGTGGGACAGATGTCAGGTGCCCCCAAAGTTGCTGTGTCCATTCCCTTCTACTGTACAGGTGAGAGGAGATCCAGTGAAAGGCTCATGCCTTGAGATAAGGACAGAGATCACTCACCAAGTGCTGTCATAGACAAAACAGACTCAGCTTGGGAAAAATTAATGTAATTTATTGCAGTCAATTCAGAGCAGGATAAAGAGAAAACCAGATCTTAAAAATACTTTCCACCTCTCCTCTCTGTGCCCTGTGGGCAGTTTTACCCCCGATTTTCTCTGCCTCCATCCCAACCAGCCAGCAGCCCAGAGTGATGAGGAATTCGGGCTGTGGCCAGTTCATCACATGTTGTCTCTGCCACTCCTTCCTTCTCAGTAAGAGGACTCCTCACACTCCTCCYGTGTCACTGTGGGGTCCCTCCTGTGGCAGACAGTCCTTCACAAGCTTCCCCAATGCAAGTCCTTCCGTGGGCTRCAGTTTGTCACGAACTGCTCTAGCATGTTTCCACCATGGGGTGCAGTGCTTCAGTAACCCCCAATGTGGGTGCCCCACAGGGTCACAAGTCCTGCCAGCAAACTGGCTCCAGTGTGAGCTCCTCTCTGTACCAGGCCATAGATCCTACCAGGATCCTGCTCCAGCACTGGCTCTTCTTTCTGTGGGGCCACGGGTCTTGCCAGGACCCTGCTCCGCCATGAGTTTCCCACAGGATTACAGCTTCCTTTGAGCATCCACCTGCTCTAGTGTGGGGTTCTGCAGGTGGATCTCTGCATCCCCATGGATCTCCATGAGTTGCAGGACCCAGCTGCTTCACCATGGTCTTCACCTGAGGAATTTCACCTCTGGTGCCTGGAGCACTTCTTGCTCCTCCTTCTCCACTGACCTGGGTGTCTTCTACAACACTTTCTTTCACATATTCTCACTCTTCTGTTTTGGCTGCTCCTTTTGCAGCAGGGTTTTCCCATTTCTTAAATAGTTATCAAAGAGGCACTACCACTGTCATTGATGGTCTCAGCTTTGGCCAGTGGCAAGCCCATTGGCTGGCATTGGCTCCATTGGACATGGAGGAAGYTTCCAGCAAYTTCTCAGAGAAACCATCTCTGTACCCCACACCCAGTCCCCCTCCACTACCAAAATCTGGCCATGTAAACCCAGTACACACKATACACCTATAGATTCAAAGAGATAAATGAACATTATGTAAATTCATAAATAACAGATGAAGTTCTGTTTTAAAGATCTTACAAAAAAGAGAGTTTACTTTCTTTGAAGTTACTGGCATGGCAGTGCACAATAGGTTAGAACTAATGAAGATGACAAGTGAATGAAGCATTAGTGGCATGACTCAATTTCTCACCCTCACAAGCTACCCACTGGATGTCAGTACATCTCTAATAGCTCTGTACCGTAGCTTTTGCAGGGTGTTAGTCACTAAAAGTCACTGGCAATAATTCCAGGAAAACTTTTACGTAGTTCTGTGTGCAACAGTTCCAGGAAATCTGCTCTATAGCCTTTATCATGCTCAGAACATGTACAATCAATGAAAATTATTCTTAAAGACAAAGTTCTCTCTTGACCCCATTTAGAAAAGTACTGGAATATGTAAATTAGGCACGTCTGGCAGGTAACAAAAATACTTCTATTTTAATGGGCTGAGATGAGAGGCAGATGGAAAAAACAAGGACATTTTAGAAATGACCTTTTTCCAATTCTATTTATCAGCAGCCATTGCAACTTTGTATCTTTGGGAAACAAGTGGGTTGTTGATGATGTGTTGTGATTTGACTGGTGGGCAGCTAAACACAGTCCAGTCACTTGCTCACTCCTCATTCCTACCTGGGACAGGGAAGAGGATTCAGAGAAAAAAAGTAATATTTGTGGACAAGGTAAAGAYGTTTTGAGACAATAATAATATTAATAATAGAATATACAGATGAAGTGATACATAAGGCATTGGCTCTCCATCCACCAACTCTTGCTGGCTCAGTCCTGAAGCGGTGGCCCCCAGCCAGCCTTCCMSCCAGTTTATACACTGATCATGACACCATATGTCGTGGAATATCCTTTCAAACAAGTTTGAGCTGTTGTAGTTGAGTGTGTGTCATGGTTTAGGAATGGTATTCCCCAGTGTAGTGCTCTCCCTGAGACTCTGCAAACCAGTCTGCCACTTGCTCGCTTCTTCTCCACTCCCTTCCCCCTGTGAGTGGCTGGAGAGGAGAACTGGAGGCACAAGAATGACTTACTGGAAACAGCAATGATATAAGAAAACAGTAACAGCAGCAATATGAATAGTAAAAATGCACAAAAGAGAGATTCACATGTAAAAATGCTCTCACCACTGAGGCCAGCCAGACTGCAAACTCACCACCCCAACTGCTGCTTCCAGAGAGCTCAACAAGACTGCAGCCATGCCACCCCAACTGCTGCTTCTGGCTCAAAACCAGCACTGCACAACTTTTCATTCTGGGTGGAAATTTTGCATTACCCCACCACTCTCTGCCATGCTGACTCTACTGGAAGGAACACTTTCACCTCAGAGGAGATTCCCTTCCTCTATCCCCCAGCAGTGATGTGAGGTAGAACAGAATAATGAAGTTGTATAGAATATGAAGAGGTATAGAATAAACTCCAGATCCTGGCCACACCCTCTCCTGGTTACAGCAAAAAATTAATCCTCTGCTGACTGAAAGCAAGACTGTTTTCTCTCTAAATTCTATGCTCCCCCGAGCCTATTCATTGTTGGAGTGTTATGAAAAGCTAAAAAGTCCTTGACTTAGGGTGAGCACTCCATAACAACAACTAAAACATCAGTGTATTGTCAACATTGTTTTTATCCTCAATCCAAGACATAGCG